GATTCTTTTGACATATTTTTTGAAGAAACTTTATATATAGTACTTCCTCACGGATCATTTCCTTTGCGAGAGAAGAATTTTATCAGAATATAATTTTTATCAGTTTCGACAGTGCTTTTTTCAAAGGACCAAAGTTCTTTTCTTATTTGCGATGAAAATGTTTCTTTTTTTTTTTATTTCTTTTAAAGATTTCTTTTCGAAGCTAACAACTACTGAAGTAAAATTTTTTTTCTTACTTTAAACTTTCAATTTTTTATTTAATTTTTATTTTTTACCAAAAGCTTAATTTTTTGTAAAAGAAAAGCTTCTTTTGTTCAATAAGAATTTTTCAACGAGTAATTTTTTTTTGTTTATGAAAAATATAAATAAAAAAGTATAAAACAAATTTATTTGATTCAAATAAATAATCACTTATATCAAATAATTATTTTTGTGTATCAAATAATTTTTATTTAAAAGTAAATGAAATAAATTTGTTTAAATTTGCTTATTTGCTTTATATTAAATACTGAAATTATAGACTCAAATAAAATATTTATTTAATTTAAATAAAAGTTGTTTAACTATTTGTTTCATTCAAGCAAATTTATTTTTGATAATAGTCGATTATTTGAATCAAAGACATTTTTTCCGGTGTAATTTTATTTAAGTTAAGAAAATTTAATTGAAAATCTTTTTATTATATAAGTTTTAATTAAAATTTATTTTTATTATAGGAACATATCTATTTCTTAAATAAATTAATTTTATTACAGTTGAGAGTTATTTCGTATAAATATAAAATATTATAAAATAAAATACAAAAAATAGTTTACAATTGAAATTAAATAAACTTTTGATATAATTCTATTTAAATTAAATTATAAATATAGAATTTATTTTTAGATCTATTATTCTAATTTTCTTTTTTTTGAGAGAGGGGGTTGAAAAAAGTTTTAAACCTTCTGCAAATATATATTTTATATTATGCATTATGTTCAATTCATTGAACCGTAAATAAAGTAGATTAGATTTACAAAACCAGTTTCAGAATCTCTTCGTTATTATTTTTTTGAATAATGGAACTTTTATAATTTATTATTATAAAGAGTTTAGCGACATTAAATTATGAATTTATAGCCTCTAAACTGTAATAAAATAAATTTAAACGAAAATCATGTAAAATAAAATTAAATTTAAAGGAAAATTATATGCACTAAAATTAATTTTATCGAAAATTGTTTAATAAAAAAGAATTGTTACTGGAAATGTATTTAAAAATGTATTTTAAATGTATTTAAATTTCCATGTTTTATTTATTATTATTTTTGTTTAAATACTTTTTTTTATATAAAATTTTCAAGTAAAATTGTTACAATTATATTTTTTTACAATTGTTATTAATATTTTTGTTATTATTGTTATTACTATTGTCATTATTTTTACTATTGTTAAAAACTTGTTTTCTAAAATAATACATGAAGAAGTGGAAAAAAATTGTGTGTATAGTTTTTTAGAAGCTTATTTGATTTAAAAAAGTTTGATATATATTTGAGTGAAAATAATTTTCTAAGCTTCTCAAGAGCTTCTCTTTCGAGTTTCATGAATTGCAACCTTATGACCCACTCAAAAGGACCTTCTGCCTCTGCAAAGCAATTTATGCCAAGATTTTGTGACATTGCCGACAATATCGGAAAATCTAGTACTCTGTTAAGTGTGTATTCAGGTCATGTATACGTATATATATTTTTTATTTATATATACTAAATATACTTTTTATTTATATTTAAATATTCTCTTAATCTAAATTAGTATAAAAAATGATTTTTACTTATTTTAATTAGTGACTGACTTTTTGCTTTTGAATTAGTAAATTTTACTAATAAATTAGTAGAAATGATTATTTATTAGTAAAAATTTTACTTTGTTTAATTACTTTAATTTTATATTAATTTACTAATTTATAACATTAATTTTACATTAATTTATAACATTAATTTTACATTAATTTACTAATTTTATTAGTAAATTTTACAAATAAATAATTGTTTCTACTAATTTATTATAGTAAAATTTACTAATTCGAAAGCAAAAAATCAGTCACTAATTAAAAGTTAGTAAACATTATTACTAATTTAAATTTCAAGAGATAGTTTGCTTATAATTCAGATATTTTCCAGAATTTCTATTATTTTGTATTTTAGGACCATTTTTATAACTTTCTTTTTGAAATTTAATGAATATTTATTATTTGTTTTAAAATATAATTTATCAGAATAAAATTCTTCAAAAATTCGATTATATTTCAAAATAATTTTTAAAGTAATAAAATTAAGAATTTATTCTTTCAAATAAAAAATTTATTTAAATGAAATTTGACAAAACTTTTAATTGATTCAATTTTCTGAATTATTTTCGGGAGTTTAATTATCTTCAAAAAAAAAAAAAAAATGTTAAATACAATTTTTCAAAAAACTAATTTTTTTAGAATTTCTACATTAAATTGGTAAAACAATCACAGGAAATGAAAAGTGTTGTTTTAACCTGAATTCGGGTGAAAATAACACGCAACAAATTTTACCCTACGAGGGTAAAATTTGTTGCGTGTTATTTTCACCCGAATTCAGGTTAAAACAACACTTTTCATTTCCTGTGATTAATAATTTTTTCCTAAACAATTATTTAAGAACTCATTATTATTATTTATTAGAAGTGTAATTTTAATTAATTTAATTGCAAAACCTTCTGAAAATTAATTGTTTCTAAAAATTACAACTGCAATTTTTCCAAAATTCAATTATTTTTTTAAATTCTTTGAATAAAATTATTCAATTTAATAGTTTTTAAAGGAAGATAATAAATTATTAATTTTTTTTAAATAAACATTTAAATATTATTTTTCATTTACGTCGATTAAAATGTTAAAAAGATTTCCATTTGAAAATTATTAAAAATTTATTTAAATTGGAAATTTAATTATTTCTTAAAATTCCTGTCATGACGCTTCTAATATTCAATTATTTTTCAAAATTTTAACTGTGAAATTCTTTTCCAAATCAATTTTATTCTTATTCGAATTCAACTGCAATTTTTCCAAAAGTCAATTATTTTTTAGAATCTTTGTATAAAATTATTCAATTTAATAATTTTTAAAGGAAAATAATATATTATTAATTTTTTTATAATAAACATTATAAATATTATTATTCCTTCACGGTGATTAAAACGTTGAAAAGATTTCAATTTAAAAATCATTAAAAATTTAATTATTTCTTATAATTTCTGCCAGAACACTTCTTTTCTAAATCAATTCTTATTCGAATTCAACTATAATTTTTTCCAAAAGTAAATTATTTTTTAGAATGTTTGAGTAAAATAATTTAAAAATTTAATTATTTGTAAAGGAAGATAATAAATTATTAATTTTTTTAAAATAAACATTTAAATATTTTTTTTCATTTACGGCGATTAAAATGTTAAAAGGATTTCAATTTAAAAATCATTAAAAATTTATTTGAATTGGAAATTTAATTATTTCTTAAAATTCCTGTCATGACGCTTCTAATATTCAATTATTTTTCAAAATTTTAACTGCGTAATTCTTTACTAAATCAATTCTTATTCGAATTCAATGAATTCAAATAATTTTATTATTTAAATATAAAAATTTTTGTAAAATTTAACTATTTTCCAAATTTTTAGTTTTTAATCTTTTAATTTTAATTCTTGAAAAATTCCAATAATATATTTCAAAATAATGTTTCATAGTGAGAAAATAAAATTGTTTTAAATATAAAATTTATTTTACATAAAATTTGAGAATATTTTCTCTTTTCCAATTTTTTAAAATATTATTATCGGGAATTCGACTAAATATTTTCAAAAAATTTTAATGACGTTTTTTTAAAAACCTTATTTTTCAGAATTTCTAAATTAAATTTTTCAAATTTCATTAATTTTTTTGTTTAATAAAATTTGAATATTTATCGTTATTTATTTGTCCAGCATTGGAATTAAATATTTTCAAAATACTTTCAATTTAAAATCACAGTTTTTCAAAGGATATCAAATTGAGACAAAAAACTTGAGAAAATAGTTGAAATTAGTCAAATTGAGAAAATAGTTGCGAAGTAACTATTTTTTGTCTCAATTTGATATCCTTAGAAGAACTGTGATCTTTTGAAATTTAATTATTTTAAAAATAATTTTTTGTCACAAATAAATTTATACCTATTATTAAATAAATATTTTTTAAGTTTCTTACAAATATTCTTGTAATTTGTAATTTTTAATTGTATGCAGTTTAAATTTCTTCAGTTCTGTCATTTTAATAATTTTTTTTTTGCCTGCATGTAGTTTTAATTGTGTGCAGTTTAATTGCGTATGTAGTTTTTCTTTATCCATTTGAATTCTAACCAATTGATTACCACCCCAAAATAAAAATAAATTTATAGAAAAATACAAATATTAAATAAATTTATAAAATGCATATATTTGGTTCTATTTCTCTTCTTTTTTTAAAAATTTATTTAAATTTAATGCGCGTGAATAATAATTTAACCCGATTAATATTTTGCAAATTAAGTCTTTATAATAATTTTTGAGCGATTATTTAGAAATAGATTAACGGGAAATCCATCAAAAGCAACGTTGCTTCAAACATAGAACTAAATTTTGCTTATATATACAAAGGACTGATCCTAGGTAGACAGGGAATTAATTGGTCGGAGATTCTCCACTATACATATACCATTAATATTAACTTGTTGCAGAGAAGTTGTCTAGTAGGATTTAGTATACATATATATACATAAATTCACAACAACTACAAATTGCTACTTCATTTTGCAACGAGAGTGGAAGAAGCTTTTTACTCTATCTCTACATAACAATATTTAACTTTAATTACTAAAATATTTTCATTTGAAAAAAAAAATTTTTTACACTTTTATAAAAAGGACTATTTTTAAAAAAAATAATTTGACCTTAATTTTCTAATTGGGAATTTTGATGTCTCTTACTTGTTTCTGATAATTGCTTTATATCCTTATAAAGTTTGGCTAATATCATCATCTATTTCGGATGGAGTAGATTAGTAGAATTATTATTGATATCCATTCGGTTTCCTTATAGGGAACCTGAAAAATAATAATAGAAGTAAACATTATTATTTATTATTTAAAAATTATGTGATTTTAATAATAATAATTAACTTGATAAAAATTAAGATATAAAGCAACACAGTTTTCTTAAAAGTATCAAACTGATACTAAAGTGTTTTAATTTGATACAAAAATGTGAATCAAAATAAAAAATTTATCTATTTTTGTATCAAATTGAAGAAAGAAAGAAATTTCTATTTCTATAATTTAATAGAAGCAGAAAATTTAAAAATATACAAAATTTTTCAAAGAATATCAAATTGAGACAAAAAATGAATCAAAAGTGTTGCAACACTTTTGATTCGTTTTTTGTCTCAATTTGATATTCTTAGAAAAATTTTATAATAATCAGAAAATAAAATACTATTCTAATTTAATAAAAACGAAAAGTTAAACATGAACATTATGACTAAAATATAAAAAAAATAAAATTCTACTCTCATTTAATAAAAACGGAATGATTAGAATAAATAAATTATTAAGAAAAATGTAAAATTAACTTTTTTGTATACATGCGGGTACAGGACTATATAATTTAGGAGAAAATATCTCTCTCTTCATAAAATAAAAAAGTGAAAAAAGAAAGAAAATTATAAGCGATTCGTATTTTTTTTTTTTTTTTTTAATTAGCATGCCAAAGGTATAAGGATACTTCGCGTATTGCGAACAAGAAGATCTAATTAAATAGCACTATATATAGAGGACGGATGGTGCAAACAGGAAAATTAATTTCCGTTCGTAAAGAGTATTTCCTTATATATCAAACAAAAGTATAACAAAAAATAGTTCCTCTATAATATTGCGATTTATTCAATTTACTCAACTTTTGTCTTTCTCTCACGAATTTAATTATAATATGCTGCGCACGTCCTTTTTTCATAATTATATAATTCATTTGTTGTCATTAATTAATTAATTCTCCACTTATATAGTGGAAGAATAGAATTATTTCTTGGTGCTAACAATTTTTTTCCGCTTCTACTCAGACGTATTTTTTTATCTATTTCATAACAAATTAAATCATATTTGACGCTATTTTATTATTTTAATTTTTTTATTTTAATCTTAATTATTATACTAGAAAAAATGTTACGCATTATTTAATTTATTATTATTTTGTGCAAATTAAAAAAGTTTTTTATTTTCAAATATTAATTTTAATTTTGGAATAATTTCAGATTTAAAATTTAAAAAATTCAACTAATTAAATGATTTACTGAATAATTGTAATTATTTATTGTTTTCAAATACTTTACTAGAATTCTTCGCAGAAATTCAATTATTTTCAATATAATTTCATTGAACTTTCTTGATAAATAAATAATTAATTCAATTATATTTTTTTAAAAAATTGATATAACTCTTCGCAAAAATTCAATTATTTTGAAAAATATTAATTAAATTCTTGGAAAGATTTCAATTATTTTCGTAATTTAGAAAATTTTCCCAAAGAATTTAATTCTTTAAGGGTATTTGAAGCATTATGACGTCACAATTTTAGAACACGTGCTTTGCACAAATTGTGACGTCATAATGGTTCAAATGCCCTTAAAGACTTTTAATAAAATTCTTCGCAAAAATTAAATTATTTTGAAAAATTTTGGTAAAATTCTTTATGAAAATCCACTTAGTTTTAATACAATTTTAATAAAATTCTTTCCAGGTTTCAATATTATTTTCATAATTAATAACATTTTTTGAAAGAATTTAATTATTTTTAAAAAATTATAATAAAATTTCTCGAAAGAAATTCAAATTATTTAAAAAATTAATTTAAAATTTTGAACCTGAAATAATTTAATATTTCTGTATAGGATTTTATTAAATTTTTTTGAAATAATTCAATTGTTTCGAAGAATTTAATTACAAAATTTTTAAATATAATTAAATATTTTTTAAGGAATTTATTATATTAAAAGTAATTGAATTCTTTGGAGAAATTTTATTAAAATTGAATGGAAGAAAATGAATTCTTGCGAAGAATTTAGTTCTTACAAAGAACTTTATTACAATTTTTTGTAAAATATTAAATAATTAGTTTATTACGTAAAAAGTGAATTTTAAAAATTTTTTAATTTGAAATTCATTTTATTAAAATTTAATTGAAGATAATTGAATTCTTACGAGGAGTTATATAAATGATGGAAATGATTGATTTCTTGCCAATAATTTCATTAAAATTTTTGAAAATAAATAATAATAATAATTAATCAGTTCATTAGTTAAGGGCATTTGAACCTTGATGACGTCACACATGCTTTGCACAAACTGTAACGTCATCAAGGTTCAAATGCCCTTAAAATTGAATTTTAAACATTTATGAATCTGAAATTATTTTTTTATAAATTTTTTATTAAAATTGAATAAAATAGAAGTGAATTCTTGCAAAGAATTGTATTATTTATAAAAATAATTTAATTCTTAAATAAAAATTTATTAAAATTGAATTGAAATTAATTAAATTCTTCTAAAGAAGTTTATTCAACATTTTTAAAAATAAAATTCTTGCAAAAAAATTTATTAAAATTTTTGAATTAGAAATTTTTTTTAATTAATTTTTTATGAAAATTTAATTGAAAATAATTGATTTCCTGCGAACAAGTTTATTAAAATTTAAAAAAAAATAAACAATATCAATTAATTGAGTTGAAAATAATTGAATTTTTGCGAAAAATTTTATTGATTATGAAAATTTCTAGGGAATAATTTTATTAAAATTTAATTGAATTTTTAAAGAAATTGTCATAATTATAAAAAATAATTTATTTCTCACAAAAAATTTTATTATAATTTTTGAAAATAGTAAATAATAATAAATAATTAGTTCATTACGTAAAAAGTAAATTTAAAAAATTTTTGAATCTTAAATTTTTTTTATTAAAATTGAATTGAAAATAATTGAATTCTTACGAGGAAACATATTAATAATAGAAGTAATTGATTTCTTGACAATAATTATCTAAAATTTCTGTAAATAAATAATAATAATTCATTAGTTTATTATTAGTTAAAAAGTGAATTAAAAGAAAAATTTGAATTTGAAATTATTTTTTATTAAATATTTATTAAAATTGAATCAAATAGAATTGAATTCTTGCAAAAAAATTTACTATTTATGAAAATAATTGAATTCTTTAAAGAAATATTTATTAAAAATGAATATTGAAATTAATTAAATTTTTCTAAAGAATTTTATTCAACATTTTTTAAAATAAATTTCCTGCAATAAATTTATTAAAAATTTTGAATCTGAAATTTTTTTTAATTAATTTTTTATGAAAATTGAATTGAAAATAATTGATTTCCTGCGAACAAGTTTATTAAAATTTTTGAAAAATAAACAATAATTAGTTAAATTAAACATAATTGAATTCTTGCGAAAAATTTTATTGATTATGAAAATTTCTAGCGAAGAATTTTATTAAATATTTCGAATCTGAAATAATTTCAAAATAAAAAATTTTGTATTTTGCATGATAATAATAATAGTAATAATAAGTTGAATATAATAATTATAATGATAAAAGTAATGAAAAAGTAATAACAAAAGTATAGTTATGAAAATAATAATAATAAAAATAATGATAATAATAATAATAATAATAATAATAATAATAATAATAATAATAATAAAAATTATAATAATTATAAAAATAAGAAGAATAATGAAAATAACAATAATTAAAATAAATAAAAATAAAAAAAAAATGTGCAAAATTGTTTCGCAGACAAGAACGTATAAATTTGTGTAAAAAGTATAATTTAATAGTTTTTATTTATGACTTTTGTTGACAACAAGTTTCAGCGAATTATTGGTGTGTTTATATTGCTATAATATGAGACATTCCAAAGAAGTTGAATAATAAAAATAAAAAATTTATCGGGAAAAATGAATTTTTTTTTTACAAGCTTTCACACGCGCGAATATAAAATGCAATTCTACCGATGTACTTTTTCTTTTTCTCTGAAATCCGTATACTTTTATGACAGATATAGTACTAAAATTTATATACGCTTCCCTAATGTCAAAATGAAATCGTTTACGTTAAAAGCACAAAAACACATTGAAATCAAATGCGCAAATATTTATAGACGATAGTTTTTCACGTATAGACAAACACTGTTATAAAGATCTCGATCTATTTTTGGTTTCAATTACAAGAAAATGAACCAAAATGATTGTTTAAAATTTCATTTATGATTTTTGTCACATTTTTTGTTATATATTTAAAATATATAAAATATATAAAAAAAATATCTAAAACTAAAATCAATTTTATCGAAAAGTTTATACGACTCTTTTTTTAACAGTAACAAAAGGTATTATTATATTCGTAAAGAATGCTATTGTTCAGAGGCATTGGAATATTTTTTCTCTTTATCACAAAGTGCATCATTGTTTATTAAAACAGAACAAAAAAAAATCCTTGAAATAACTTTTTCGGAAGGGAATTTTGCAATTTTAAATAACAAAAAAAAGGACTGTGAACTATTTTTTATAGTGACTTTGACTTTCATCAAAGTTTGACAATTGTTCAATTTTTTTTTTTTTGAATAAAATAAAAGTTGCTAATACCGTTTGAAAAAACGAACTTTCGAATAAATGGGTAAATTTTTTTTTTGCAAACACTTTTTTGCAGTTTTTTTTTATTCGATTGTATTTCTGATTTCTGGTTTAAATTAAAAAGTTCTTAGTGACGGCTCTTCAACAGCAATTCCCCAAGTACTCTGACAGCTTTTATATGCATTTTCTCAGAACAAGTGAATAAATGTTTCGTGTTGCAAAAATAAAATTCACAATTCAGTGTTTATAACGAGAGAGAAAGATATTTATTTCTTCAATTGTGAATTTCATTTTTGCTGTTCTTAACTTGCAGTCGACTTTTTTCGGTTGTCTTTTTAACCTGAAATAAGTTTTCTTTTTTTGACGCCTACTCTTTTGTAGAAAGTTTTTTAATTAATTTAAAAATGAAAAT